ATCTGCTAGTTACCTTGTTCACTACATAATTTACCTACTGATGTAACATTATTGATGGATATTTTACCGTATCATGCAGTTATGAGTGAAAGCAAAGAATTAGTCAATGTTGGTGATTTTGTGAAATTAAATTCTACTAATGTAAGTTACTTTATTTTTGTGCCTTTTTTATTTAATGGCTCTTTATAGGTTAAATTAGGTGTCTTACTTGCTTGTGGAAGATTGGTAGATTATGATGGAGAAAACAGTTCGGATATTTGCATAGTTAGAGCGCTAAAAACCCTATACAACAGTGATGGGAGTGTACGTTTAACTGAATTTGATTGTCCAGTTTTATTTTTGACGAATGATTTGTATGTTGTTTCTTCTAATTGTTTTATTTGTCCTGTTTCTGTAGCACACATTTGTTCTTCTTCATGCACTTTTTCAGTTGATTTTTTAACATATGTACATGATTTTTCTAATTGTTTGTTTTGCTATAACATTTTTTGTATTAATAATAATAATTTGAAATAAATTATTGTTAAAAATGAATTGTTAACAATGAATAATAATTAATCATAACAATTAACCGCAACAGGAAAAACGTCATAATGAAGATATCATGAATATCGTTATCATTAGCGGATCAGGCCTGGCACCAGCATAAATCGAGGCTGATTCATCGATATCGATCAGGATTACTGCCCAAATTCCTCGGTCCAGGATAGATTATCAGGCCTGATTCAGGCCTGTATCAGGACTGGTCCATGTTCAAACTCTTGGGCGTGTAGTATCTATGCTATAACACAGCTACCGGTGCCGGTAGTCTCGCGTAGCCAGCCCCTCCCTCCTCGCGGCGGGAGGGGCTGGCTACGCGAGACTAGGCTGGCTACGCGAGACTAACCTTGTTCCTGTTGCTCCTGAGACGAGCCAGGATAAGCAATCAGATAAAGAGACCGACAAGCCAGAGACGGGTTTTGGACCCTACAGGTACCAGAGAAGAAGTGAAATTCAAGAGGCAACTGAGGACATTGTACTGTCGCTTAGGCCTCTTCCAACTCCTAGTAAGTAGATTTATCTCTGGCACTAGTGCAATGCATGTTGCTATGCCCCAGGCTATGCCTAACTTAGTTATTGGAATTTGGCAGGATTTTATGATGAGGATCTTATTGATTCTATTCTTTAATAGGTTTGACTCTCAAAAATCTTATTCTAAGGGAAGAAGTTCCTCTCACAACTTGTCTTGTGGTAGCAGCAGGTCTTCCAAATTCAGGAAAGACAACTGCTCTGGAATCTACATTTAGGCAGAATATTTTTTTGAAAGAAGATGCTAAATATCCACTTGAACATTATCTCAATAGAAAGAAAAATGAGAAATGTCTCTCCGTTTATGAGTTGTGTATACTGGGGTGGTGCACCTTGTGATCAGTTTCAATGGTCCTTTGCTACCAATCGCTGTGGAGCTGTTTTTTCGATCCTTCATGTTCTCGCACGCAGGCATCTTATAGATGATCAACACATTGACATAAAGTCTTTGTTTGATGAGCACATTCATTGGTTGGTGGAGGCAATTACTTCTCAGATGAAGTCTATAGAGTCAGAAAAGCTACAATTAATTCAAGATGGCCTCTCGCTCATTAATGTATTGGATGTTGGTGTCAATAAAGCTATTTATGAATTCCTGCAGACAATGATGTCTTGTCGCAGACACATTCGTCTTGCTTTCTTTTCACTGGAAAGAGATGCACCCAATCTTGCTGAGAAACCTGATCTACCTTCTGATCGTTATGGGGAGAGGGGAGATGATGTAGTTATGATGAAGCAAGGATCACGACTTGGTTATCTTTTCCATTTTGCTACCTTAGGTTACGAAAAAGATCAACAGAATAACACTACTGTTATGATAGCTACATCAACTGAAACCACACCAAATCCCCTCCAGTTCCAAAAAGTAAAAAAGGAAATCGAGCAACATGCCGACAAACAAGGTGTTCTTCAATACCTTAAATCTTGGGAAATCATAAATACAAGTAATAAAGATCAAATGAAAGATGTTGGAATGAAAATTCAAGAACTTATAAGACGCAAGTATTACTCTAAAGTGAACATACCTCTTCGTTGGATAATTTTGCGAAGTCTCGTGACATCTCTGGAGAAGGGAAACTCAAAAGCAATTATTATGAAAAAATCATTCATCATAGAGCAAGCAGATTACTTTGAAATGGATCGTGCAGAAGTTGAAAGTTTTCTTGGCGTTTTCTCTGATTTTGGTAGCATCCTCTACATGCCTCAATTCAAGTCTCTCAGAAGTATTGTTATCGTTGATATATACGAATTTGCACAGTGCATAGACCGACTGTTTTATCCCAAACCTGAAGCACCTTATTCTCAGAATCTTCTGAAGTATGGTATTATATCACAAAACGATATAAAGAAAATTCTGCCATTAGAAATCACCGATGACTTTATAAACATTCTTAAAACATTTGCAATGGTTGCTGAAATCAAAAGCCCATCTCGTATTATTATTGAAGACCAAGTGCAATCCGAGGTAGAAACATTTTTTTATTTACCATCAGCACGAATCACCAAATATGACATGATCAGAAGAAATGATTACATCATTCTCCATATTGAAGGTGCTAGCTTTCCTTCTAGTTTGCAGGCTGGCATTAGTCATGAGATCATGAAGAATGAAAACACTTTTTTAGTTGCAACTGAAGATTGCAATACATCTCAATTCTTATTTGAATATGAGTGTAGTTCTTCCATTAAAATTCACATGATCTAAAGGGATAGAAAAACTCATTTAAGAATCAATAGTAATTCTGTTGATGTCTTACAATCTCCTGAAGCAATTGATGCCTGTAGCAAAGTCCTCACTGCTACATTTGAATGCCTGCAGTCGATAACACAAACACTGCGTGGTGTGAAATATTTCGTTGCTATTCCATGCAGCAAATCTAATAGTGAATATCATTATCTTTATCGATCACACAGGTCTAACCTTTGTGAAACTTGTATAAAATCCAAGGAAGAGTTTCGATTTTGTTGGAGCAATGCAGCAAAAAAGATAATTTTAAGTATCATAACGTATAATTTTTATATCATCTTTAGTGCCTACCTTTGAAATATGACATGTCTATCAATGAGCATCAGTAAAGCAATCAAGTAAAGGACATACAAATGTTTATTTTTCTGCTGATCATGTTTTAATATTTTTATGTACATGATATAACACTTATATTATTAGACTACAACATTTTGTCTAAATCTAGTAATAAACTCCACTATGTATATCATTGTTCTTTCATAGCTTTTACTCCAGCTCTTTCATTTTTTTATTTAAAACTGTCTTAACCTCCTTCAATGCCAGAATTTACATGCTTTTGTCTATCATTTCTATGTAAAGCAACAAACATGTGTCACTACATCACCTGTTCATCTTCACTTTCTTACAGCAGCCTTGACCTCGATCCTTCCCAATGTAATGAACTTTGTGTCATATCACAACCACAAGACGCACAAGGTTTACTGCCATTATAAACCTACAAATAAAAACAATAAATGAATTAAGAAATCATTTACAAGGAACTGACCAGGGGGTCATATAGTAGCATAAATGAATAACAGCTACCATTGTCGAACTGTGCTGCATGAGCAGTAAAATGTTGGGTGGGCCTGGATCAGGTGATAATTTTTAGGGCGTTGGCTCGTAGCTCGTAAAGATGGACAGAAATGTAGATGAAAAAGGTCAGTTCTTTGAAAATAAAGCAACTCTCTTTCATTTAATGCTTTGTTATTATTCTTTAGATCAGTATAAATTTAACTGGAGGGCTCGACACACAACTGCAGTAATAGGAGAGGTCCTGTACTGCTGGGGAGGGGACCAAGGATTAAATGAATCAGAATGCAATTGCAGCGGTGATTTTCCTAAAAAGAGAGAACATATTTCTGTTATTGATAAGTTTGACTTTTCATCTGGTGTTTGGTCCTCTCGACGTACTAGTGGTACTCCTCCATTGGGAATCAGAGGAGTCTCTTGTACCACCATTAATAATAATATTTATTATTTTGGTGGTTTTTGTGGCCATGGTAGCTGTTATCATAACAGTTTGAACTGTTTAGACACTTTAACTCTTCAATGGAAAGAATTACAACCAACTGGTGACAATTATGTGACTAAGAGAGGCTATGGTGGTATGATAGCAATGGGAAGTGAAGGCTGTGGACCTCAACAATTACTGGTTATTGGTGGACTTGCTCCAGTATCAAGTACTACACACTGTCATCCTCAATTTAAATACAGGAAGATACCTTATCGGCTCGATCGTCTTAGTACTAATGAACAGAATATCTACAACCTGTATAGCGGTAATTAACACTTTATAATCATTATGGTTAATTATTAGTTACCTATTATGTACTCTTGATTACCATAGGGCATCTTTTTTGAGGGATGTAAATTTTACGAATTTGCTTAAAAATCTATTTTTTGGATTTAATTTTTGTAAATTTATACCATCGCCATCTTTCACCTTAAAAATTTGATTTTAGCGGTAGTAATTTTTGTGAATCTTCAGAAAATCTCAAAATCTGCAAAATTTACAGCCCTTAAAAAAGGCACCCTACGGTACATCATAGTAAAAAAATTGCATCTATTATTACAACAACATGTACTGGTAATTATTTTTAGGACAATGGATTATTCCATATGTTATTGGACAGTGTTTTTTACCAACTAAAGAGTTAATAATTGAAAAGATCAGTCATAATAAAGGAATTATGTATGGAGGAGCAGTACATGATGGTGATATCAGTGTACCTACTAACAGCATCTACTTGTTTGAGTTTTCACATAATGATACTACAATAGTAAGTTGCAGTAGCATATTTTTAGCAAAACTATATTCACACTTCATTGTAATACTACATGCATATGAATACATTATCATGACGGTCATTATGTTTCTAGAACTGGAAGTGTCTTAACAAAGGATCAATACCTAATGATGGACTGTGGTCTAAGGAGAGATATACTCATGCCAGTACTATTATCAATGGTGCCTCTACCTCACCTATACTAGTAGTGATTGGAGGAACAGATAGTCATGATAAACCACTGAATGAATGCTTGTTATTAGATACAAACCAGTACAATTGGATTCAGGTGATAATCCACAATAGTGATTATTATTATTGTATGAATTGACTTAAGATTTTAGCTATAAGTTATATAGGGAGTGGCTGAATAAAATTATTTATACATTTTTTAAGTATAATATTTACATACATGCAATAGCCTACCTTGGTGTACAATGATGCATAATACATCATACATGCACCACCTTCACTTTTGAGCTTTGCCCTAATGCTCTAACACTGTGTATATTTGTATATTCAGTTATATCTTTTATTTTCTACAGTTTCCTCTACCTGATTCTGTTACTGGCAGATACTATCACACTGTATCATCTTTTGTTGTTGATCCTAATCATGTGTTCCTGATAGTATTGGGAGGTTATGCAAAGACAACGCAGATTGATGTAGGAGGAGGAGCAATAGATTGGATTAATACACCTGTTACTAATTCTCATATCACAATGGTAGTAGAACTAGGTAATATTATATTAGCTACATTTACTTTTTTATGAGAATCTTACAAGATAAACACTTCACATGCATGTACTTGTAATATTGCCCTGCCCCTCTGAAGGTAACACAGGGATGGAGCAAGACTTAATTCTATCATTTTTCAAAGTTTACATTCATACCAAAATTATTATTTTTTTGTCACTCAATCACTAATTTATTTTACTCTCAGTTTTTCACGATGGTCAATGGTCAGTGGAATCAGTCAGTAGTGGGATGTTTAGAATGAACAATCAATTACTTTGGGAAGAATTATTGAAGATTAAATCAGGTATAATTATTGTATTTGCATGATTATGTTACATTAGTAGACCCATACATTTTATGCCAATTTAAGGTTCTCAAAATAATGCATTGCTTTTCATGCACTAGTGTCACAGCTGAAAGTGCTGAATAAAAAATAAGAGTATGCATCAATGTGTCAGAATAGAAATTTTTTTAATCTGAAAAATTGATGCACGCTTCCATTTGCTTGTACAGCACTTCCGGTCATAATGGAAGTGTGCATGTCATATTGAGAACCCAGCTTTAATCACATGTTTTACCAATTTAAATCTCATATTAATATAATAATTACTTTTATTTTATAATTAAGAAAAGAGTTTGCTAGAAACACAACTACTAGAAACTAAGACTCTTCTTACTAAACGAAAGAGAGACCAAGAGGACTCACCACACTCAAGTAATAATTATGGATTATAAATAATTGATTTCTTGAGAATTTTCCTACAGATTATTCAAAGAAACTTAAAACTAATGAGCTAGAGGAATCAGTGGAGGAGGAACAAATAATGACTGATGGTTAGTGTATCATCAGTACATAATATTAGATGAGTCTATTAATGTAGAAGATAATGAGAAACTTAGAGCTACAGTTGCTTATAATGAAGTATATATAACTGAAATAGAAGAAGAGAAGAAACAAGTAGAGGAACACCTCCAGATTATAATTGGTAAGTTAGCCTGTAATGCACATAACATGTAGTGTATATTGAATACTGTATATCAGTTTATTTTTGTGGCATAAATTTTTCAGTCACGAATCTTGCATTGCAAAATTAATTTTTGCAGATACCGCATAATGCAAAAATTTTGGAGGGCTATAAATTTCACAGATTTTGCAATTTTTGAAGATTCGCAAGAATTACTTCCACAAAAAACAAATTATTACAATGCAAACTGGCAGAAAAATAGAAAAATAGATTTATAAAAATAGGTTTTTAGGAAAATGTGCAGAATGTACAGCCTTTGAAAATTTTACGCTATATAGTAGCACCATGTGCATGACAACAGAGATGCAGAATCTCACGATGGAACAGAAAGCCACGAAATTTATGAAAATATATCACCACAAAAATAAACCAGTGTATTTTTTTACACGGTATGTTTATTGTGTATTGTAGATGATTTAAAGTTCAAATTATCTGAGAAAGATGCACAAATATCCAAACTAATGAAGGAAAAATCAGAAAAGGAGGCACAAGCAGAAAAACACCTCAAAGAAAAGCAGAGTGAGTTAATTACTACTGAATTCACATGGCATACTGTACTGTAAATTTGTGATTGTGTGTTTTGATAGATAAATTGGATTTTCTGAGTGATGTCCAAGTAGCAGAGAAGAAGCTGTTCTTAATTCAAGGAGACAAACCTCAACTGATGAATTGGGAGAAATATGGTCTAAGGATTAGAGTACAAGAAGAAAGCCTATTGTCCTCTGAGACAGTAGAAGCAGCAGTGGTTGCTCTTGTAGGAGGACAGTTCGAGTTTCCTCCTAATACTGTCCTAGTGAGTGCTGTGTATGCAGTATCACTCTCAAAGCCTCTCCTCAAACGACTCAAGTTAGAGATACAGCACTGTGTTGATTTAACAGGACAACCAGATCTTGCACAATACTTAAAGTTTGCTATAGCTCCAGTCGACACACCCAGTCTTCCTTACCAGTTCTCAATAGTTGAGGGAGGAAAGTTTAGGTCTAATAGTGGGTATGGATCCATTCAACGTAAAGAATTCTCTTTTACTTGTATTCTGGGGGAAGACTCGACTAATGGAGGAGGTAATGGTGTCCCTATAGCACCATTTAATGGAGACACAGAGGAAGGAGAAGAGGAAGAGGAGGAACAGCAACAACAGCAAGGGGAGGAGGAGGAGGAAGAGATTCAGCAGGACTTGCAGCAAAAAAAGGATGAAGGTGGGAATGAGGACAAAGGAGATGATGATGATGATGATTCTTCTAGTGATTCCTCTGGTATCACTAATAAGAATAGCAGTATTCCAGAAGCTAGTGGAGCTGCTAAAAGTCAGTAATGTACCGGGCATTATATACATGTAGTTTAATATTCAATTTAACTGATAGAGCCTATTAATGAGAAGGAATTTAAGGACAATGAAGATAAAGAACAAAGTAGCAGTACAGAATTAATTCCTCATCGTAAAGATAGTATGTACATATATACACTCATGCACCTATGACTGTATTGTGTGTGTACTGATTACTAGAAGTACAGTCCACTGGTGTAAGGAAAGCTGTAACATATGCTGGTCTGGTTTATTATGAGGAGAAAGGTGTAGAGGATATGGTGACATTCACTGCAGCTAAGAATTTGGAAGTACTCATTCAAGTAAGAATGCATTTATATAGACGGACAATACCGTATAGCGCTTTAATTTTGTGGAGCTAAAATTTCGCGGATTGATAAAAATCAAATTTTCACGGAAATAATTTTTGCGGATTCGCAATGTTAGCGCCACCATAGATATACTGTATCTATGGTGCCACACCTTTAATGGCAATTGAAATTTTAGCAGATCTTTAATTTCATGGTTTCATGCTAACCGCAAAAATAGTGAAAGTTTAGCTCCTCAAAAATAAAGCGTTATACAGTATGTTTATTATTATTTGATAGTTTATTGAACAGAAACACTCTCAAGCTGAGATTGGACCAGATATTTCATTTTGTTTTAAGTTTCCTTATGATTACGTTGAATTAAACTTGACTGCAGAACAAGATGAACCATTCACTGGATGGATACTTAGACCTCACACTAAACCCACCAGAGTAAGCTGTATAATACTGTTTATAACACTAAGTCATATCATGTATACAGTTATATCAAGAGGCCATTGATAAATTTGGTGATAAAGAGCATTCTCGTCCTTCATGTTGTCTCATATCAGTTTATGGATCACCTGATGCTGTACCTTTTCTTAATTACTTCATACCACTGGAAGGTGTGGCTCATCCAGTTTCATTAAACATTCATAGAGCACGAAGAAATCTCACTGTTCCTGTTCCTCCTTCAACAAGTAATAGATACAAATTATTTATTTATTTAACTTATATTAATCAGATCCTACGACTTCCTCCTCCCCCAATGTAGTACATGAATCAACTCCATTATCTACTGGAGAAGCCAGTAAGTATTACTTTATGTGTATGCGTTACTTTATGATGTCTATTCTTTAGATGCTCCTAGCAGTAGTGGCAATGATGAAACTACAGTACCAACTAAAAGAAGCAGAGAAGGAGGTACATGTACATAACATGTTATGACTAGCTATTAATTGACTGTTGTTATCATAGGTTTTGATATTAAAACAGCTAAACAAAAGATCAAAGATGTTATGACTGAGAATCGCACTGATTTTGCTGCACTCCTCCAGTTTTCTCTGGTCCATGTTGCTAACAAATTGTCTGAGGTTCATATGATTCCTCCTGAGGTTCAACAGTCACCAACTTATGATGCCATATTTACCTGTTTTCTGTCTATGATGAGTTTATTGGACTCTAAGTCTGACCTAGAGAAACATTGTGTGAAGTATCTAGAGGCTCTGTCTAGTGTTGGGGGACCAATAGAATTTGCTGCTAATCTCTTGAGGGAAAAATGGACAACAGCTCTAGAGGGAGCACTTGAGTTTGAACAGTCTGTGAAAAGAGTTAGAACTAATGATAAATGATGTTGCACTTAAATGATTTTAATTTGTAGCTAATGTTATATTTTGTATTTTAAAATGCTCTATTTATGTAATGCTCCATTCTTCTGGTTCTTTTTCAAGTTGAAATTCAAAAAGGAAGTCCATTTGAATAAAGTGGGTGTGGCTCAAATTTTAATCAATAAAATGGAGAAAAAGTGCAACAAAACTGAGAACAAAACAGCATCTCCTGCCAAAGCCATAGAGCCTAAGGAACTAATACCCTGGACCCGCCATTGTGATTACTGAGGACAGGTAAATGTAGAATTAATTAAGGAGGATATACATTATTATAACTATAATTAATTAATGAGTGCATGTTCATTCAAAAGTTTATACTCCAATAAGATTCATTATAGAGGTGAACCTAATGGAGTTAAAGGGGCCAGGGTTGGTAAGTCTCTTTAGCCACTGGTAGCCAGACCAGCCTACAGTCATTGGGTGGTAGCTGGGGAATGGTCTGGCTAGTGAGCATGTCCAGAAATTGCAATGGGACTTCCGGTCGCGTTAATTTAATGATATTCATTGGAATTACCATAGCAACGGCAGTTCAGCAATGGTGGATTGATAGGAAGCTTCACTACAAAGCTTGCTAACGTCTTTCTGGTACATGGATGGGACTTCACTAGATACTTGGAGCTTCTTGAATGCTACTTAATGCAATTGGTTATGGTAGTTTTCTCATATTCTTTTGTTAAAGTGGCAAGCGTGGTGAAAGAACAGGCTCTTCTCAACAAATGGCCGTCTTACTTCAAAAAGGTCTAGAGACGCTATTTGCTTGTATATATAAGATGTTAAGCACTCTTTCTTTCACTTTATTATTCCTAAGAGAAGAGGAAAGCACTTGTGACTTGTTGACTCTTGCTGCTGCACCCGTCATCATTGAAATGGCTAAAATTACTTCACCTTCAGGAGACAAATGTTCCAAATAAAGTTTTGAATTTCTTTATCTTTTTTGCATCATTGGGTAGTAAGAATTTTGTACTTTCACAAAATAAGTGAGCAAATTGTCAAAAATTGTTTGAAATTTAGATATAACCATTCAAAAAGTAAAAAAATTATCATACATAAAGGAATGACAAGATGGCGGCACTGACTGCCTCATCTTCAATTGGTAAATGTTCCACACAAAGTTACTCCAAATGCTGTAATATTTAGCAGGAACACAGGTAGATGGATGAAGAACAGCTACTGAAGTGCGCAAATTGATGATTCTTATTGTAAAGAAAGATATAGCCTAGTAAATGGAAATCTCCATTCCTGCCCTGTATAAAGTCAATCAGTGGTATACGGAGATAATTGCTCAGTATACTGCTCCGTGTCCACTCATTTCTGGACATGGACTAGGCCAGGGGGACATGGAGCCTAAGGAACTAATGAGTCTAATACCCTGAATCAGCATTGGGATGACTGGGGTCAGGTAAATGTAGAGTTATGTAAGGAGGATATACATTATTATAACTAATTGAATTATTGTGCATGTCATGTGTATACATGTCTGTTCTTATGTTGCGTAGAAGTTTGAACCATTTTTGATCAATTTTGGATTTTTTTACAAATTTTTAAATCAGGCCAAAGTCTCTGTACTTTAGTACATGGTCCTGGGCCAAATTTTACCAAAATTGAAAAGTAGAGATTTCTCCATTTTTATAATTTTTCCTGATACATGTACATGTTCTTATGTTGCATAGAAAGTTTGAACCAGTTCCGATCAAATTTGGATTTTTTAGGAATTTTTAAAGTTGCTCAAAAATATTGGCCAAAGTCCCTGTACTATAGTACAGTGACTTTGGCCAAGAATTCTCCGTTTTTATAATTTTTTCTGATGCACATACATGTATTTATGTTGCGTATGAAGTTTGAGCTAGTTCCGATCAAATTAGGATTTTATACAAATTTTTGAATCAGGTCAATCAGGCAAAGTCTCTATACTTTAGTACATGGTCCTGGGCCAAAATTCACCAAAATTGAAAAATAGAGATTTCTCCATTTTTATAATTTTTTTCTAACACCTGTTCTTATGTTGCATAGAAAGTTTGAGCTGCTTCCAATGAATTTAAATTTTTAAAGTAGCTTCAAAATCTGGCCAAAGTCCTGTATATGTAGTATACAGGGACTTTGGCCAAGTTTTGTCAAAAATTACAAATACCAATCATTACCAAATTTTATGTACCTACTTTTGAGATTACAAATTACGTTAAGATTGTCACCCACTTTGAGGTGAATTGTTCCTACATGTATAATATTTCCTATTGTTATTTCTAGATTCATTTTTTATCCTTCGAGTGTCGTTTTGAGACTTAAACATCAACCACTTGATGGTAAGAGAGAGAGAGAGGAAGAATGTACGGTACATAGCGTAATATTTTTGATAACTGTTAATTTTTCCCCATTTACGTAAAAATCTATATTTCATGAATTTAAATTCATGAAATTATACCATCTTCCATCTTGCACTAGAATAAATTAAATTAATTTTTGCGTATCTTCAAAGAATCGCAAAAATTTATAGCTCTTAAAAAATTTTCACTATACAGTGCATGTGTGTTACAATGTATGCAATAATTATTACATTTATGAACCTATAGGTCAATTGTTTGTTAATAGCTTCATTTCAAAGATTCATTAGCTTCAATTTGGAGCTATACAGTAATACTAACAGTAAATGACATGACTGTGTATACATGTACATATGTACCTACTGTATACATGTATATATTTGTCTTTTTGTTCCTGTTAGTCACAGAGGGACAGTTCTGATGATGAAGATGAGGTTGTTAAAGAATTAATGAAAGCACAAAATGAACTGAAAGTTGTTGTAAGTTTGTGATGAAATTATCTTCCATTTCTTCTCTACCTTATATCATATACTATGTACTTTAATTGTGTGTGTATCTTCTTTAATCTTGTTCTATAGCATGAATACAATCAGCAGCAGAAGAGGATGCTTCATTCATTAGCTAAGTCTGAGATAAGACGTCAGGAGATTAGGAAGCAGCTCCAAGAAACTGACCAGGAGGTCATGGAATGGCTAAGAGTGTTCTCAGTAAGTATATGATATCATGATTTGTTACTAAAGGAATTCCTTCAGGAAAAGTTTGAGTTTGATACATGTGCATTGTATCTTAATTAGAATACAATAGACATCATATAGTTAGCATATTTATTGTATATAATATTAAAGTTTTTTTAATAATCATAATTATTATACCTGATTGTATTGTTGTAGAGTTATAGCCAGAGGAAGAAGAAGGAGCCAATCAAGCAGAAGGAAAGAGAGAGTGCTCAGAGGTGTCTTGATAAAAGACAAAGACTATCCCAACACTTGCTAGTTTGATTTTATGTTTATATAGTTTTATGAAGACAATAATACTTCAATGTCATTTAACTATTTATAGATCAAGTTACTAAAGTAGCATAAGTAGATCAATATGTAAGCTATGCTGTGTGTAGCTATGCTGTATATGCTATGCTATATGTAAGCTAAGCTAAGCTATGCTGTATCAGCTGATTATCTACTCTTGCTGATACTAACTACTAAGTGCCTTGTGGGTGGGGCTTGAACACGTGATGCGGTCATAGATTATTATTAGAGTAGTTCTCTATTGTCTGTTGTTTGCCCAAATCAATTTTACACCTTAATAAGATGGACAGAAATTTAGATGGGAAAGGTTAGTTTTTCCCCTCTCTTTTAAATGTATATTATTATTATTCTACAGTTCAATATCAACTGAGACATAAATATTATCATACAACTGCAGTAGTAGGAGACGTCCTGTACTGCTGGGGAGGGAACCAGGAAGGATTAGATAAGTCACACGATTCTCCTACCAAGAGAGAGTGTACTTCTGTTATTGATGCGTTTAACTTATTATCTGGTGCTTGGTCCTCTCAACCTACTAGTGGTACTCCTCCATTGGGAATCATAGGAGTCTCCTGTACCCCCATTAGTAATAATATTTATTATTTTGGTGGTTGGTGTGGCCATGATGGTTGCTTCCATAACAGTTTGAACTGTTTAGACACTTGCACTCTTCAATGGAAAGAATTACAACCAACTGGTGACAATTCTGTGACTAAGAGAGCCTATGGTGGTATGATAGCAATTGGAACTGGATCTGGAAGTGAAGGTGAACCTCAACAATTACTGGTTATTGGTGGACAAGGTACTGCTACACAGCATCATCCTCAATTTAAATATGATTATGGAGCTGCTATAACTAATGAACAGAGTATCTACAACCTATTCAGTGGTAAGTAAGTCATGGCTTGTCAATAAATATCATTAACGTACTGTACCAAAAGCTAGTTTTCCTGCTCTGATTAAGGGCAAGCTTATTGCCAGCATATAGACCCCTTTAGGCGAGAATTAGTTTGTGATACCGTATATACAAAGAAATAATATTGAACGGATTTTTGTCCGCCATGTTTTACGTCAAAGTTATGCAGAGTTTCAATGGCTGATGTGCAAAGTAGAGCTGTTTTGCCAATAAAACTTTTGTTGTGCTGAACTCAGGACTACGAGAGGCTTCATATCAACTGTTTTTTACTATAGCAAGATATTTTGAAGACTTAAGAAGTCTGGGAGAGCCAGAACGATCAGTTCTTGACTCACTGTCACAGCCCAAAGAGGAAAGCAGGCTCATACAACAAGAGTATTGCACTATACTTCCTAGGTTGGCTCTCTTGGCATCTTTCTTGACTCTAGAATAGTTTTTAGCTTCAAAATGTAGTGACCAAGATCTCCAGGACACAGAAAGCACTTGCTGCTTGACGTAAAACATGGCGGCCAATTATTGTATGTGGGCGTATACCGTAAATGAGATATAATGATATTCATTGCAAAATTAATGATATTCACAAGCTGCTACTTCTCGCCGAAAGGGGTCTATAATTCTACTTGTAAATTCAACTTTGTACATCTATCCCCACAGCATGGCTGCTTGTTAATCATATTCATTACTGAAATATCAGCATGCCAACTACTTTTCTAGACAATGCTTTGCTTGCTCAGGCTTGTCCTTTATTTTACATTTGTCTAGTTAACAATTCCATGTATTCAACATGCAGATACACGTCAGGTAATTGCATGTATTTCTAGGTCAATGGATTGTGCCATTTGTCAGTGGTCAGTGTTTTCCACCAGCTGAGGAATTTATAATTCAAAAGATCAGCTATAATAAAGGAATTATGCATGGGGGACTAGTGAATGATGGCAGTTATTGTAGTACTGACAGTATCTACTTGTTTCAATTATCACATAATACAATAGTAAGTTATACACAAGGAAATTTTGTAGCCACAGTACTATGATAAAACCATGGATGCATTAACAGCTCAATTAAGTTATCATATGAATATAATTATTTCTAGAACTGGGAGTGTCTTAAACCAGGATCAGTACCTAATGATGGACTGTGGCCTGATGCAAGAAATCGTCATGCCAGTACTATTATCAATGGTGTATCTACCTCGCCTACACTAGTAATGATTGGTGGAGTGGATAGTGACGAGCAACTAGTGAATGAATGTTGGTTATTAGAAACAAAGCAGTACAGTTGGATAAAGGTATTAATGTTTATAGTGTGTTATTGTGAATGTGAATTGTCAATGACTGGAGATTAATTTTTAGAAGAAGCAGATATATATGTAAAATCAGTGGCAGATCTAAGGGGGGGGGGGGAGGCAATTCCCCCAAAAATTTTTCTGGAGTAATGTAAACTTAGTTTCACCTATATTAACTGAGAAGCATGACTATATAAACAATTTTTAAACCACAAAGGAGCTCATTTTAGTGGGCCATGGGCACCAAGTAGGCTTAAGCCCTCCATACACCAGGCAACATGTTGCTAGCAACATTTGTGGTAATTTGATCTTGTGAACTTTTCTTGTAAACTTTTTCACAATGTCATTATGGAGGTACTCTACAGCTATTTGGCACAAGAAGTAGTATATAGCTGTTACCGTATAGCACATATATTTTGTGAATAATAAATTTTGTGACGCGAATTGACAAAATTCGTGAAAATTTTTATTCGCAAAAAATTTACTATCAATTAAATAGGTGGTGCCTTGTGGACTAGAAGCTGCACCTTTAATTTAGGTGCACAATCAGTATTTTAAGTATTTCAAAAATTCTGATCCTGCTCCTACTAGTCAGACCACTTCACCTCTACCTGATCCTGATGAGAATCTTTTATCAGAAGTATCTTTGCATTGCAACGTGCCTCATCCACTATGATTACATTAATTTTATTATTTAAAATGATCATTTTGCGAAATTTTTTATCGGCGAATGTTTAGAAGGAACAATTTCGCAAATTTTTACACGGTAATTTTGGAGGAGGGAAATTTTGGCAAATTTGGCATCTTTTTGATAGCCGTTTGCCAAATTAAAACCCACCATTTTATACCATTATGTGCATGCTCAATTGCATTTGGCCACAAAATTTGCCAAATTAAAAACCTGCTAATGATCAAAAATTTATCAATTTACCAAAATTTCCCTCCCTCCAAAATTACCAGCTACATGGTACCTCCACAATGGTGGCTGCAATAAATTATTTTTCTATTTATGGTATTACATGTATATTGAATGTTATTATAAGTTGGGAGTCTCATTCACACAAAACAGATAAAATACTGATGCCCAACATTCTTTTACCAATGTAATGTTTTTTTTTATTTTCTACAGATTCCTCTACCTGATCCTGTTACTGGTAGATTTCATCATACTGTATCATCTTTTGTTGTTAATCCTAATCATGTGTTCCTGATAATAGTGGGAGGTGTTTTAGTGGATATAGGACATAACGTTTTTGGTGCACCTCTCAATGACTCTGATATTACAATAGTAGTAGACCTAAGTATGATTATTATTTATTTATTTGTAACAGAAAGTTTTGTATACGTACATGTGGCTAATCCACACCCAAACTTGGTGAAAGTGATGCAGAAAATTAAATATTATATGTATTAATTATACAGCTATTAAAATAATAGAAAATCATAAGTAGAATAATGATAAATTAATTTCCTCAAATTCAAAGTATTATTTTGTCATTTTTTGTCCTTTATCTCCCTCACTCACAATCACTAACTTTTTCCTTTTCTCCCTCAGTTTTTAATGATGGTCAATGGTCAGTGGGTCCAGTATTAGATTCACATAATATTCCTTTGTTTTATGAACAAATACTAAAAGAAAGAAGAAAGGAATTGATTGGAATGAATGAATGCATGACAGATAAAGAGAAGGAGCTTCAAGTTATCAATGAGTCATTACGTCATGATCTACAAGTGTCTAGAATTAACAACCAGTCACTTCAGGAAGCACTACTAGCACTGGAATCAGGTATACAAGTACTGTATTACAATTACTGTATACAATATTTTGATGCTGTGTAAACATTGCTTTGTTTTAATTATATCATTATTGTATGATTTGTTTGCTGTTAATTACTTATATCTTTTATTATTGAGTATTACTCATTTATTAGGCACATTTAATGCTCATTTTTGTTAGTTCCAACATTTAAGCACCACATCATGTATTAGTGCACTTTCATTACTTTTTTATTTTTTACTCTACTATTTTAAATGAAGAGAAGAGTGTGCTGGAAACACAACTACTAGAAACTAAGACTCTTCTTACTAAACAAAAGAGAGATCAAGAGGACTCACCACACTCAGGTAATAATTATATAGAAAGTAATGCCATATGTATGTAAATCTGTAGCTGGTAATTTTGAGGGGTAAATTACTCATTTTGGTAACTGGTGTGCTAATGGCCATATGCCATTGTGCATACACAATTACACATAATGTTAGGTTTTGTTTTGGTAAATGGCTATTAAAATTCCAAACATATTTACTAAAATTTTATTATGAGCTAAATAGTACATTGATTTTAATGTCAATAAATAGTTTTTCTGTTAAAAGTAAAGATTTAATTTCTGCAGATAATGCTAAGAAGCTTAAAACTGATGAATCAGTGGAGGAGAAACAAACAATGACTGATGGTTAGTGTACATGTATCATCAGTTTATAATATTAAATAAGAGATATACATGTAGATGGTTATG